ACACTGCCGTAGGGAACCACTTGTCCTAGTGCTTTTTTTGGCACAAACACCTGTTCTCAGTGTGGCCAAACTGACTACACCCAATATGGTCACTTTTTCTTGCTGATAACTCAGACCAGTTTTCAACCAATGATGAGGTTAAAATTAATCTTTTTGTTCTCCACCACTCTTTGAAGAAGGAAATAGAAATACTTCCACTGACCATAATGGGCATTAGATTGGAACACTACTCACTTGATAAAGAGCCCTTTTTAACTCAAGTCCTTGAAATAAAACTAAATAACAAGCTTAGATTGTATGTGCTCTGAAACCAATAAAGGAAGCAGTCTCCTCTGTAGAGTTTGTAGTGCTCACGCAAGCAAGCCACCATTGAAATATACTGAAAACCAGAAGGTATTTTTAGAATTATTGAAGTGTGTTTTGTGAAACCCTGTAAAAAATTTGCCTGGTATCTGTTGTCAAGGTAGCAAACCTTCTTTATTTAAGAAAAATATTACTTTCATTGTGTAATATAGGGAAGGGAATTTAAGAATATGCTTATGCTAGCAGTAAATTTTCAACATGTATTTTATTTAACTCACATGAACAGTACCACTGAAGTGAATGGTACTAACTTAAGTTTTGAGCATTTTATATATACACACAATTAGAACATTAGAGTGGAGTTAGCCTCCTGATACAGCCAGTCTGCAGTGTGCAAAGGTGCCAACTGCACAGATCACAGTCTGTGGGATGGGCCTATACATAAATCTTACCAAGCCCAGCAATGCAATGAAACATCAGGATAGTTCAACAGTGCTACAGTCTAAAATATCCCATAAAGAAATTAATAGTTTTACAGAATTCAATTTGTCTATTATAGCAAAAAGTACATTGAGTTTGGATAAACTGAAAACTCAGATAAACCGAAAACTCAGATAAACCAAACTCAAATGAGCAGGATACTCATCTTCCTTTAACAGATGTTTGTTCTTCAATGTTGCAGTTGAACATGTTCAACTGTTATAGTTAGGATTAAATAGAACAATACACAGGGGCATCTCAGACTCATGCTTTTCAAAACATTAAATATATCAATGGTTTTCAGATATATAGAATCAATAGTTTTCATAAAAAGCCTTTGAACCAGAATTTTTGTATTTTTATAGCAGAAAGAGAAACTTCCACTTCCACCTGTGTTCATGACACTTGTTTTCCTTTGCTGACTACTTAGCTGCACAGTCAGAGGCTTAACACGAATCATTTATTTTCCAGTAGCAGTGCACAACTCCAGCTGCTTCAGATGTGCCAAATGCAAACACAGCTTCTAGTTCTTCCCACAAGATTTATGCAATACATTCTACACCACATCTTTTGAAGGCATCTTCTGTCAAATTCCTAGAGTAGTAAATAAAATAATAGATAGACACATCTGGATGAATGCACAAAAAGATATGTAGACATTCTGTTGTTCGACATAGCTAAATTCTGTTTATTTGATTTATTCTTGAATACCTCACTGATTACTACATACCATAAACCTAAAATAGTGTGCAAGTACCATATGTAAGTCTGTTGTCTAAACACATTCTTGTAGTGTGTTGGGAGCATTAAGTGAATACAGGGCAAAAGGACAAGCAGAATTTAAGTTGTTTATTTTTTTTAACAAATTCTCCTTCCTCAGGTTTTTAACTCATTGCCTGGCATTTAACTACTCTGAAGTATAAAGGTAATCTCATGATTCTGCACGGCTCATACCAAATAATTCTTGTGGTGTTTCATAGTAGATGACCTTCCTCTGTGATACTGGAGCTGAAAAGTCATTATATTATTTTCAGAGCACTAAATTTTTTCATTTCATAGAAGTGTTCCCATATTGAATAGATAAGTTTTGTAACAAAAAAAAAATTGTAAAGCACTTCATGAGAAAATAATCTCATAAAAGCATCACTTTGTATTTCTGGAAATAGATGGGAAATAAAACCCATCCAGCTTTATAACGTACTGAATATCTACATGTGCAGTACAAATCTAGAAGATAAATATATATTGACAATATCAGTCATGAAGAAGACCAGAAAAAACACTCATTTTTGTAATAACAGTATAACTATGTTGAGTGAATAGCTGGGAAAAACTGCCTGGGAAGGTGGAGAATGAATATGAAACACAATGATGCTCTCACCTACAGCACAAAAGACCTTGATCTGACCATCTTAAAATTTATTGGGAAGGTTGATTTCACACTGTACTGGAATAAGAGCAAAGTTGAACTCAATTGTTAAGTCAGTCTAAATTGATTTTAAAAGCTGATTTAGATAATGCAATTAATGTACAAGCCTATTCAGTTCCATTTATTACATTTTTGTATGTAAACAAAATCTGTTTTATGAATAATTTTGAGATTTTTTTATGGGGTCAAAAGGTGCTAACCGAAGTTGAATTATTAATGAAATAATTTTGCCACTATATGCTTTGAAAATAGCTGGCACTTTATCAAATTTAAATAAGGGATTCAGAAAATACAGACTAGTAAACCACAAATATATAAATATAATTGACAGAAATCATAATTAAAAGAACAAGAATAGGAAACTTATGAAAAGGAAATTACATTTCAACTATTTATTGCTGTTCCTGGAACATGTAATTACAAAAACAAATCTGAAAAAATAGTATTAACACAACAAACACATTTTGAAAATGCTGCTGAAAAATTATCACACAGGAACTACCAAGGATAGGAAGTAGTTACAGAGTAAGGAACAAAATATCTCCATGGATCACAACATGGAAAACAGAAGAAAAAGGGCAAGTTTATTATAGCAAAATGGAAGCAGTAAGATGTTTATGAAAGTTCTGTAATAAGTTTAGTGCTTAATACATTAATAAGCGGTCAGGAAACATAAGCAAATGCGGGATGGCAAAACTTTCAAATGGCACAAAATAGTTAGTTTATTCAAATCCAAAAGGATTATGGAGATATCCAGAAAGTCCTCATCAGTTGAGTAAATGGGTAGTGTGATAGCAAGAGAAATTGTAAGCTCATAAATAGTAACCACAATATTTAAGTAAAAACACTGAGATACTTATCCTAACCAGTAAGTTCTTAGTTGACTAAATCAACTCTAGGCAAACCTGGCCATCCTTATAGATAGTGCGTGCATCCAAAAATCAATACATTTGAACAAATAAATAGGGGAAGGAAAGGAATACAGAATTCTAATGAGAAAGTATCAAACGTTACTTGTCAAATTTCAAAAGATTCTGTGCAAAAGCATGGAAAACATCCAAGGAGGGATTTAAAAATGGAAAATGTTTACTTCAGAAAGCAAATCAGATTTGTTCCCTCAAATCTGCTGTGGAAAATTTTCAAGAGAAAAAAAAAGGGAAAGGATAGCTAAAAGTAGTAAGAAATAAAAGCTAATATTAAAAATTGCGATCAGGTCACACCTGTCTCCATGTATCATAATTTAAAATGAGAAAGTCTTCATCAGTTAATGAAGTCATAAATTGACAGAATCAAATGAGACAAAAACCACTTTGCTCATAGTACGTGGTTAATTTGTTATGCCCATTTTAACACTACGTTCTCAAAGCTAAGAATTAAAAAGATTTGAAAAGAGAAGTGAAATTTGAGCAGAGAAAAGGTGTAAATAAGATAGTAGGAATATCCAGAATAAAAATAGTAAATATAGAAAATATTTTGGAAAACTACAGTTTAAACCAACTTATAACTGTTACACTGAGATGAAACGTAGGCTTGGATTATCCCATATTGGCAAAATGGGAGTTAGGTCATTCAATCCTGTGTGTAAAATCTTTTGTCTCTTTTTTTTAACCACAGGATTCTCAAACTGGGTTATATTTATAATTTGAACACGAAAAGCATCTGTATATTTATAATAATGGTACCTACTGTAATCTTACTCTCATATACAATGTGCTGTTTTGCCAACTATTCATTTTGCACACACATATATTTGCTGTTGCCAGTGGATATGTATTTTGAGGCTGAAAGATGAAGATCTGCTTGTGCGCTTTGGTGAGGAGAGGGAGGCAGTTTTTGCATGGCCCATATTTTATTGAAGGCCCTCAAACTGAGACCATCTAGATGTTTTCAACATTGAGATAACCTACTCTGTCCTAAAGTAGAGAGACTCAGACTCTTGAAATTCTTTAGGACTGATCAAGTAGCATTTCAAAAATATCCTGACCCAGTTTTGGAATTCTTCTGTGTGTATATGCCTGTGTTTGTGGTGTTTGGGCTGAGTTGGCCATGGTCACCATGAGTAGCTGTGGAAATGAGGAGCCTGTGGCTACATGTACACTGCCTCAAGTAGCGAACGGCATCCCCAGGCTAGCACAGACTGAGACAGGTGTCATGATAGCAGGTGCAACCCACACCTTTGAAGGGTCATGTCACATCAGCTTAGCTCAGGCTGAGGCTGTCCCCCTTCCAGAGACAGTCCCAGCAAGGCTCCCTGTGCTGGCTTAGCTTCCCTGTGTGTGTGCACAGAGAGCAGAGTTACAGGACAACATGCATATTCAAATGTCATCCTTCAGTCTGCCAGCTGGGTGCTCTTCAGGCCCTTGGAAGAAATTTCCCCCTTCTCAGGTGTGGGCCTCAGTGTTCCTCATGTTCCGAGGATGATATTTATGGAAATCTACCAGACTGGGAGACGTTCTCTCCCCGAGGTCACCGTGGCAGGTAACCCTGTTTGGCCTCTGAGATGGGGACCTTGGGCATATTCCCACCACTCTGCCTCTGAGCAGACTCCCAGATGTTCAACCACAGACACACGTTTCTGTGGTTCCATGAACTGCACTATTTTCTGTCACTTTTGCTGGGGTGGGCTATGCCCGCTGCTGCTGCCTGACGGTGGGCGGCGAGGCCGGGTACCATCCCACAAGGAGCTCCCTCCCGATGGAGGATCGTCCCGCCCCCGCCGGGTCTGTCTGGCCCGGGGAGCCACACGGGGCGGAGGGAGGAGCGCGCAGGGCCATGTGAGCAGCTGGCGGCGGCAGCGGCCTCGGGGAAGACAGATGGGGTGAGAGACAGCGCGGGTCCGGCTGTCAGCGGCCGAGCCCCGCCGCGGAGGGAGCCCCTCCTCCCGCCGTGCGCTCCCGGCCGGGGCAACCATGGCGTCCAGCGAGGAGGACGGAGGTGGTAACGGCGCGGTGGAGGAGAAGGGCAAGAAACGGAAGCTGGGCGCCCTGGCCACAGCCTGGCTCATCTTCTACAACGTCGCCATGACCGCGGGGTGAGCGGCGCGGGCGGCAGCTCGGCGGCTCCCGCGGGCGCGCGACGGCGGGGCCGGGGCAGCGCGGCGGGGGCGCGGCGGGGCCGCGGGGGGCTGCGGGGCGGGAGAGCCGGGAGCGGTGGGAAGCCGCGGGACCGGGCTATCCTGGCCCGGGCCGGGCATTGCCTTAATTACGGTGCAGCGCTGCCGGCCGCCGCGCCCGCCGCGAGGTTAAGTAATAGCCGGCACGGCGAATGCCGGGCGGCGACTGACGCGTTCCTCGGCCAGCAGCCGAGCCGCCGCCGCCCCGCGCCGGCCGCCGCTCCGGATGGGGAGGCGAAAGCGCCCCTCGGTGCCGCCGGGAGCTTCACGCCCCGGGGTCCCCTGCGGGGCAGCGCGTTCGGGTCCGTGGGCCCCGGCTCTGGGCAAGCAAAGCCCACCCCAGCTCCCGGAGGGGAGAGCGTGGCCCGCAGAACCGGCGGTCATTGGTGATGAGCGGGGACGGGTGGAGGGGAAAGCGTTGCAGTAACCTAGGGGGTTCGTTTGAGCTTGTGCTCTGTGCTGTGAGGCTTTACTCTAAGGATAGTGGAACCGATCATAAGAACACTCAGATTTATGTTATTAGTGCTTGAAGCACCTATTTCCGCTTAATGAAAATTTGCCCTGTTCACTAATTATTGGGGGAAAATACCTCCAACCTTTTAATTTCCACATGCTTAAAAGAAAGCTAGGAATTAACCATTTTATAACTTCCAGAGTGATATTCATCAGGAGAACAGTTTTACTGTGGTTACCAGTGAGTGAATTCTCTGTCCTTTGAATGCCATAAAGCAAAACTGACATGCTGTAGTTGAAGCAGTTCAAGTACTGATGGAGAAAGCCAGGAATATGATCCTAATGGCTTTCTTCTCTCTATCATCCGTGAATCATGAGTAGGTATTTAAGTCTGTTCATATATTGCTGCAACACCTTTTGAAAAGTGTTTTTACTGAAAGTAATTTTTTTCTAACTGGCAGGTTACTGTTACCTCATTGAACTCCCAGACTTGTGCTCCATGTGTGAATTTGCTAATGAACACTGACTCTTGCCACAGACTTTTATATGTCTCTAAAAGATTATCGAACTATATTAGTTTTGACCTTAGGTGCTGCTTCAGTATCTCCCACTTCCTTCTCTCCCATCTGCCATTCTTATCAAAAAGGATTAAGACATGCAAAATTGGATATTTTATGTGGAAATGGAGAAAAAAAAAGAGAGGAACAAATTCTTATAATCTTTTTTGGGTACAATTTAAGAGAAAAAATAAACATATGAAATAGAGCAATACTTAACAGGGGAACTACACAGGATAAATAAGTAGCTAGAACAGCATATTGGTCCAGTTATCCAGACAGTGCAATATAGCAAAGTGTTTCTAGAGTTTTAACAAACTAATGCATAACTGCATGTTAACAACCATTATAATAAAGAAAACTTGCAGCTTATCTTCCTTTCTAACACAGGTTTAAGGGACTAAAATGACAGATGAATACCCAGTTTTACTGAAGCCCCAACTGGAAATGCTGCCTTTATTATAGGAAGTGTTTTCCATTTCCTTGTGATTTGCAATACTCAGTCAAAGCCACTGACAACTAAATAAATCCAGCTACAGAAATTCATGTCCACATAAAAATTTATTTAAGAAAAATGTATTTGCAGTCTTCGCTTCTGAGTGTAGTCCAAGATTACTTCCCTCTGCAATGCTTTGGTTATGGAACAAGATACAGAGAATGTCTTGTTAGATTAGATGTATTATGACTTCTCAGTCTAGGGCTAGGACAGAGCTGTTGCTGTCACCATTCATGCTGCCAGCTGGATGTAAACTCACTGTCACCCTCCTCTTGTAAAACACATCCCTGTAAAACAGGACAGCTTTACTGTGGAGAACTACAAGTGATATTTCGGTAATTCCGCATTTCCACAATGGTGGGAGACCACCTGAAATAAATCCACTCATATTTAAAATCCGTTATAAAATCTAAGTGACACTTGCAGGGGAAAGTTTTGGAACTCTGGCAGATCGGATTCATGGGCTTAAAGTAGAAGGGATCAACAAGGGGAATCATTCCTACCATGTGTGGAAGTCTGACTAACTATGTGAGTTTGAAATGCTGTCATGAAATGCTGGGATGGGCCATGCCAAGTGACTGCATAGCAGTAGCCACCTTGCGTAAGAGTTGTTGAGGGGCTGATACTGAAGTACGTGCCATCCGAGGTGAACAGGGACCTGTCATGATCCGTGCGACACTCACGCTGTTACAGCACAATGGATCTGACCAAAAGATTGGTATTTCCTGATACCCTGTTTCCAATATTAACCAATACCTTATGCTTAGGGAGGAGTATAGGAGCAGTAGATGAGTTAAATATTTATCCAAATGTTTGTGTAAATATTTCTCTGAATGTTTATGCACTCTCTGAATCTACCTCTGAGTTTTTCTCAGACCCCTCTGCTTTGTTGCTTGGGCCCTTCCTTAGCCAGAACTCGTGTCGCTGTACAGTGTGCTTGCTATGGCCTATGGAGAATGAAAGAACTCAGTATTTTTTCCCAGTATCATCAGATGAGAAGTTAAACTAAAATTGTTATAATTTTGGGGGTTTATTTTTACCTCTCAAAATAGCCATCCATAGCTCTGGTTATGTCTGTGTCTATATTAAAGAATTTTTGTACTTTCTTAGTCTTTGTGGATTGAAACCTGAAGTTTTGAATCATCTTGCTAGTATGATGTCTTTATAAATGTGGTATAGCTCTGAAAGGTTGAGAGAGTTGAGGTTGTCCAGTGTGGAGAGGAGAAGGCTCCGGGATGACATTATTGCAACCTTTTGGTACCTGAAGGGAGCCCACAAGAAAGCTGGAGAGGGACTTTTCACAAGGACCTGTAGTGATAGGACAAGGGGGAATGGCTTTAAACTGAAAGAAGGCGAGTTTATATTATATATTAGGAAGAAATTCTTTACTGTGAGGGTGGTGAGACACTTGCATACGTTGCCCAAAGAACCTGTGTTTGCCCCATCCCTGGAAGTATCCAAGGCCAGGTTGGATGGAGCTCTGAGCAACCTGGTCTAGGGGAAGGTGTCCCTGCCCATGGCAGGAGAGTTGGAAGTAAATGATCTTTAAAGTCCTTTCCAACATAACATTCTATGATTCTGTGATAAAGGAACGTATAGTACACTCTTCTGAAAATCTTAATTATATAAATATGGATTTATTTTGTGGAAGGAACTGCACATGCCTTGGGTTATTGTACAGAGTCTGGGCTGACGGTGGGGATCAACCAACCACAGTTTAGAAGTTTACTTTTCTTTAATCTCAATTTCCATTCAATTTAAATTTTGTATCAAATTCTAGTATGATTAAAAGATACTGTTACTCTCTTTCTTTTACATTGGAAGGGTTATTAGTTGGTATAATTGTTCAGCTTCCCCCCCCCAAAAAAAATAAAAGTAATCTAACATCCTCAAGTGTGCTAGTTAAATATACCTGCCTCTGGAAGCCAGGAGCATAGAACACCCATCTTTCAGCACTTTGCCACCTGATTTTTAAAGATCACTTCTCAAAACTATTGAAAACATAATACTAATGGTAACTTCAGTTGGACAATCACAAACAGAAGCATTCAGATCACTAGTCAGTCCTGAAATCAATGAGTTGAGGGGCTGTGAAAAGTGTAAAACTGATGGGCATAGGTTCTGTTCCTTTACTCATTCAAACCTGCAACCCAAACAGTGGCTTCAGTGCCAAGTTCATCGTGTGTTTTCAAATAACAGTAATTAATGGTAGAGATGCATGAGGATTTAATAGTAAAAATATGGAGTCCCTGCTAGTGAAAAGTCTGATGGATTGGTGGTTTGGGGGGTTCCCTCAATTCAAGTCAATCCTCTGAAGGTAGCAAGTCATTCTCCATCCTTTTCCAAGTAAAGAGATAAGAGTGTAATGTTTACATAACATTATAATATTTATGTCTAAAGATATTTTTGATAATCAAAGAACACTGACAGGTGAAGAAGCAAAGATATTCTGTAAAGAAAAATACTCTACTAAATTATTTACGATGGATGGATATTTTTAGAATTCTAATTTGAAATGTATCCATTCTCTTTCTTTTGTAGGTGGCTGGTATTAGGTATTGCCATGGTGCGGTTTTATATACAGAAAGGAACACATAGAGGCTTATTCAGAAGCGTTCAAAAGACGCTTAAATTTTTCCAGACATTTGCTTTGCTTGAGGTAAATTTTAAACATTAGTTTGCTTTACTGAATACTGCATATCATAGGCAAAACACATTTTTATCCTGAATTTAAAATCAAAGTATTATATTAGTACTAGAAGTCCTTTCAAATTTATTATTTCATAAAGGAGTTTTATTATTTAATGAAGGAGGGGCAAGGTGATTACTTGAAACAAGTGGGCACATTTTTTTCAACCTTGATTCTAGTATTTCTTTAAATCAGACAGTGCCTGGGAACAGCTTCGATTTGAGAGTCTTGAATGAAAAAGGCAAAAATTCAAATGCATTTCAGCCATCAGATCAACCCTCTAGTGTTGTAGGTATTTCACCACCATCTCCAGAGATTATAGCTTACCTATTACTCCTTATACTGGACTTACTATCCTTTGTGCCTTTCCTGCTTCTGCTTGTTTCCGGATCGGATTCATGTACATCTATGGAAGGAAGCTGTTGGGTTTATTGAGCACTTGCAGTTCTTTCCCAGGCACAACAAAGGGTTAACTTTTTTCCTCAATCTGCCACAAAGTCTCTAGTTCAAACCATTAAAATCATGTCACCAGCTGTATATAGTAAAATTCTGACCTGTAAAATTCTTCTTTGAATAAGGTAATGGAAGGGAAATTTGCTAGTTGAAAATAAAGTGCTTTGTAAATATCTAAATGTCTAATATATACAATTAGTTTTGAAAATAAATATCTTTCATGTGCTTGCACAGCTGAAATCCTGAGCCCGTTGTTGCCAGGGCTCTGCCATGAATTTCTTTTCTGTTAGTTGGAGACAAAAGACCCTTCCCTTCAGAATTAAGCCTAGGTTTATATTAATATCAGAAGGCCATGCTTATAGTGTAGCTAGTAACATGCTGCACATCTGTAACCTCTAACTTATTTTTATTTACAGGTAGTCCACTGTGCAGTTGGTGAGTTCTTTGTTTTAGTTTCTCCTATAACTAGTTAAAACATGAATTGTGGAACAGAGATAACATGTTTCTCTTTTTAAGGAATAGTTCGCACATCTGTGCTTGTGACTGGGGTCCAAGTGAGTTCAAGAATCTTCATGGTGTGGTTCATTGCACATAGTATAAAACAGGTATGTGTGTAAACAAGTTATGTTTTGATTGTTTTTAAGGAGAAGCTATTAATACAGTTCTCATTTCACAAGGAAGACCAATTTAAAAATTAATGATATTCCTTAATGAGTATACTTACATACTCGAGTGCAGTCTTGGAAGTTGGGGGTTAAAAAATGGAATTTATGTGCTTCTTCCCAGGAAACTGAGTCTGGGTCTTGCCTGTGAATCAGCAGTGTCTTTGGCATTGTGCTGGCTGTGTTCTGCCTAGGAGAGATCAATGACTACTGCTGTTATTTAGCAGCAAATCTACCACAGTGTTACCAGTTCCATTTCAAAAACTTTAATTAGCACTTGCTGAATTAATATAAATAAAACGTAAATTTGTGTATTTAAATTGATGTCTCATATTGAATTTACCTCGATAAACATGGTTGTGATTTTGCAGTTTATTTTAGGAACTATCTGAGAATTTAAATGTTATGGTAGTATTAACATTTGATGACATGCGTAAATGCACATCCAGCATGCCACAGTGGCACTTGTGGTCCTATATAAATGACTATAGTTTGTTTGCCTGGCTGTAGGTGGCTATTGTAAGGCTAGTGATTTGTTAGCAGAATGAAAGAAGGAGACTGCTTACAGCTCCTAGGTCGGACATTCGGGTCAGTTTCTGAGGTCTGCTTTCTGCGAAAGGCATGTAAGAATTAAGTGAAGGATTTTGTGCTCCTGAATTTCTTTAGAACTTGAAAAGCTGAGCCATTGAACTGTCTCACCAGCAGATGGCATAGGCCTTTCTGCAAATGGGTTATCCTAGCACCTGCCTCAGTTACCAAATCTCTTTGTTTCAGTTCACAGAGGACTCATTTTCTACACTGCATCTTTTTCTTTACTGTTGCTTTTCTTAACATGGAATAGGCTTTTCATAGTTGTTGTTGTTTTTTTTGGTAAGCTAAGTGTTTTCATATTTTCCTTAAGGGAAAATGTCTCAAAGATTAAAAAGGTTTTTTATATTGAATGTTTACACAGAAGCTGGACTTACCACTGCATTTTGCCATTTTTTATTATCTATAGTGGACTAAATCTTTAGCATATCCAGTAATTTCTTTTATTTCCTTTATCTACAGTACAGTAGGTCAAACTGTGTCCAAGAAAAAATACATGTGAATGTATGTCTGATTGTATTTCATGCTGTTATTGCTTAGCAGGCATGAACGTTCAGGGTCACTTTAGATGGTGAGAGGCATGTCAGTGATAATAGCCAGACCCAGATCTCTCCACTTGACTGGAGATTTGCAAGGCAATAGATAGAAATTCTCTGCATACTTATTTAAAAGCTCTTCAGCTTGGATTTAGCACTGTGACATGAATCCAAGTTTGGGTTATCAGTGTTTGTCTCTAATTGCGTGAGGCAAAGAACAGCCTAATTCTGTCTTTACTTTTGCTTCTCAGTTTGGATGTCTTTGCATTTCAGTTGTTCCTGTTTTGTTTGTGATTTTTTTTGTTCGTTATTTTTATATCCCAGTTTTTTCTATGATGTTGGTGAGATCCACTAAAAGTGCACCTTCTTTGACTGACACGTTGAGGGGGTGATTTTATGAGCACTTACCATTCTTCTTGACTTTTGACAGAGTTGTGGATTTTCAGCACCTTGGAGATAATAGTAAGCCTTGTCACCGTGTTGCATTTTTTTTTAAAAAAATCGTTTCCCTTTTTTGTAATTTTAACAAAACTTGAGTTATTTCACAGACATCCCTGGAGCTTTTCAGCCTTCAGGCATGGAAGTATATTACAAAATTCCTCCCTCTTAAAGAAAAGAAAATTACTTGTGTGTAATTCTTCTTCTCAGAAGGTAGTGTTTGTAATAGATCCCTGGGAGCCTTCTCTGTATTTGGGGACTTTTGTTTATTTGTTCACTCAAGAGTGAAAAAGAGCCGATGTTTTGAAATAGCAGAGATGTGCTACCTACTGATGAGGCAGTTTAATGACTCAGAACTTAAGTCTTAAACAGGATTGTTGAGTGGGTTTACCCAAAGCTCCTGATCTACCAACTACTCTTCATTTAATGAGCCATCTGTGCTCCACCTACTTAACTATCTTAGAGCTCCCTGAAGTCTGCCAAACTTGATCTTCTGTGACCAAGTTCCAGTTAGCAGATTATACAAAGCAATTCCTTTTGTCTAAAGTTTCATGGAGATGTGCATTATACAGTGAGGAGGAAGCAAGATAAAAAGTAAGAGAAAGTCTAGGAGACAGAGTAGTGAAATGCAGGATGGTTAAAAACTCATTATGGAAAGAACATATCTTCTGTAGCATTGTTTTGTTCTTGCTGTTTTAAGGAGTAAGAAAATAAACAAGTAAGTCAACCACAAATAAAAGAGAGGGGCCGTTAGTGTAGTGAAAATGCAAGTAGAGAACAAAGGGAAGGAATAAGCATAATTATAGAGGTTTATATTTGATATTTGCTTAAAGGATAAAGACTGCTCAGTTTGCAAAATGTCTGTATGTTAGTACACACATATGATGGATTTACTGTACATATCACTTTTATGACAAAATCTTCTTTCTTTATAAGATGTTAGTTCTGTTCCATGTATCTTAAAGAGAAGTCTGTTGCATTTGCACAGAAAAGAGGCTTAAGGATGAAGAAAATGTTGGTTCTTTGTACTTCCGCAGATCCAGAATGAGGAGAGCGTTATTCTTTTTCTGGTGGTATGGACTGTGACAGAGATTACTCGATATTCCTTCTACACATTCAACCTGCTCAACCATTTGCCATACTTCATTAAATGGGCCAGGTGGAGATGTCTTGCACTTCAGTCTCTCATGGTTCTGTGCATGGTAGTTTCTCGCATGCTGAGCTAACACTCAGGAGAGCAGAGTTTGGAGCTTTCGCTATGTGTCAGCAAAGTGCAAGTTGGTTGCTTTCTGTACTTGGCATCATTGTTGCTTGGTTTTAAATGTTAAAAGTATTTTAGCTGAGATTTTTGGGGTCTGATTTATTCATTGCTTTCCATATCTCACAGTTTGAGCTCTGCTTTCACTTACTCTTAAATTTTTTTCTTTATCTTTGGAGTCCTCTTTTAACTTAAATATGACTCTTTAAGATGCTTTTGAATACTGTGCCCAAAATTAAGCACCTGTACTAGTCTTTGTGGATGTCAGTTCTTTGAAAATATGGGCATTGTTGTCACTCAGTCTGTGTGCGTATTGTTACTTTATATGAAGTTCTGCTTTATCAGAGCTTTTGTAAGATTATATCCATGTAGTGAAGTTAAGTATTGACTTAGTTTAGCCCACATAAAAAGTGTATTCCATATGAAAACTATTTGGATTTTGAAGCATACTTAGGGTTGGCCATTAGATCACATATATTATGGAGACTGCCTGTTTATCAGAAGACTGGAAGACTATTCTCTGTATTCATTATTTTAAAAATACATGTAAGACAGGATGTTAAAAGGAAAATATCTAACCTACGTTCAGTGCAGGTGACTCTTATTTAAAAGAGTTTGTTATTTTCCTTCATTTTTGTTTTATAGATAATTCAATTTTGATGCTTCTAATATACTTCTTTGGTGTGTCTGATATTTATGTCCATTCCTATAATATGTTTCCTATAATATTTTTGCTAGTACCTAAGATGATAGACTTGGTTACGTTTAAGCATTAAATGGCAAACTTAAAAATAATCAGGTTGGCTGTCATTAATAGCTTTTTATGTAGGCTTCAGAAAGAAATGTGCATCCATTGACAGATATACTTTTTGCCGTCAGTGTGTCTTGAATGACAAGATTTTGTTTCCTTAATATAGACAATAGAGAAAATCGACATTCTAACAGCAGAGTTATGTGGTGAAATATATTATAAACAAAACACTTGAAAATATGTTATCTTTTCATAGAGTCCAAAATATCCCGTCAAGATTTATGGATAAACAAACAGCACAACTGGACATAAATTCAGTACTCCAAGAGAGCTGGAATTTCTGATCTTTAGCTTATAATTGTAAAAGATTCTCCTGTCTGTTGTTAATGGAATTGGTATGCTTCAAATTTTAGTTCAGAATTGTTGGGGTTTTTTTAACTGCGTAGAGACACACTGTGTGTAAATCATTGCCTCAGTTCCTTCTAATACCTCCTCTAATCTATAGTGTTCCCAGTGGTGCCAAGCAATAGGGCAAGAGGCAATGGACAGGAACTGATGCACAGGAAGTTCCACCTGAATATGCCGAGGAACTTCTTTACTGTGAAGGTGACTGAGCACTGCAACAGGTTGCCCAGAGAGGTTGTGGAGTGTCCCTCACTGGAGATATGCAAGAACTGTCTGGACACAATCCTGTGCCACGTGCTCTGGGATGATCCTGCTTGAGCAGGAAGGTTGGACCAGATGATCCGCTATGGTCCCCTCTAACTTGACCCATTCTGTGATTTTGTGATTTCCCTAATCTGTAGTCTGACTGCAAGTCCTCTAAGCCCATTTACTTCTAGGAGGGTTTCATGTTTAGTCGCTGCTGTTTTGGATCTCGTCTCTTTTGGTCAGGGAGTGCACACTGTGCCTTTCTCTCTGTGCCACAGCTGTCATTGCTGTTCCCTGCGTGAACTGGAGAATTTTTCCTTAGAAGAACCTGCATATCCATGGTGCACCGTGTGTAAGGACAGCACAAAGCCTTTTGATTACAGTTTTTCATTTTGTCACTGCCTATGTGGCCTGTGGCATTCAAACCACATTTTCTTTAAACTGAATGCTTCGTCTTTGATTTGAACATCTTCTTCTCACTTTAAAATCGATCTGATAAGTTTCTGGCACTGCCATTTTCTTTTATTTTTTTATTCCAATTTCCATTAGTGGTAAATGTAGTATTATTTGAATTTCCCATGTGGTAGCAAGTAAAACAGACTGATGTTTCTCAATGTTTTCATTATCTTCAAATAAATTATAATACATACAGTTGACTAAGTGTGCATGCTCTGTGATGAAAATATGTAAGATCATCTGAATTTGGGATTCAGTCCTGATCTGAATCCTGTCAATAACAACAGGAGCCAAGATCAGTACATGTAAAAAAAAATCAGTATCGGAGACTACAAGTTTGAGGAATGTTTTATTATAAAGACATACAAACACTCTGATACTTCACTGTTCTTAAATAAAAGCACTGAGGAATGCATGCTCTGTAAATCTAAGCAACTCTCTCCAAAGTAAATGTAACTGGTGTTCTGTGCCAAGTCAGGATGTGATCTTTGATTTTGGTGCAAGATCTACTGTAATACATTGCTGTGCCACTAATAATAACAAGAGAAAGTTTTAAATTTGGGGAGTGTTTCTCACTAAGTTTTTTTTACTTTTTAATGCAGATACAACTTTTTTATCATTTTGTATCCTGCTGGAGTTGCAGGTGAACTGCTAACCATATATGCTGCTTTACCCTATGTGAAGAAAACAGGAATGTTTTCACTGAGACTTCCCAACAAATATAATGTCTCCTTCGACTACTATTACTTCCTTATTATTGTCATGTTCTCCTATGTGCCATGTAAGTATTATTTAACTGCAGAAACGTTTTAACATAATAATCAGTCATCAGCAATGCTGGAAGCACTGCCTGTAGTAAAATTAGCTGAACATTTTCTACTGTAAAAGCCTGCTTTTTCTTGTTCCAAGCTTTGCTGTGCTTTAATTGGTTAGACTGAAATTTTCTGTCCTGTTATCTGTCTCAGAACATAAGCTGTCATAAATTTTAGTGAAAATGCTAAAAACATTTCTAAGACTTGTACAAAGTAAAAAAACTTTTTGCTTACATGCAGAAATGTCTGTAACTGTGTCACTGAGACTTCCTAGTGCCTCGGCCACTTTGAAGCAATGGCTTAAAAATGGTCCTGCAAATTGTTCCAGAGATTTGCTGTGTTGTTATTGCTACTAATGCTCATTTACCTCTGAAAAATCACAATTCTAGCATGCTTGGGAAAAATTTGAAACGATATTCTCCAAGATTTCATTTTTACAGAAATCAGCCCTTCCTTCCCTGCCTCCAGACCTCTCAGAACATCTTTAGTCCCTGGTTTAATCAGTTTGTCCTTGTGCTTAATGGATACCAGAAGCCACAGATCAATTGGCTGAACTAAGCTAAGGGTAGAGAGACTATCTGTCTTTCAGTGTTATTTCCACAGGTATCCTAAGCAGTGAAGACGAGGAGAAAGCAACCTGATTCAGATACACTGCCACAAATGGGGCTAGATCAAACTAGGGATATGTAATATTTTAGATAACATTACTAACAGAATATATAATAGAATATTTTGAAGAATCTGTACATTGAGGTTAGAAACAAGGTAGCAGGTTAGAGAGAGAAATAGAGAAAGAGGAAAACTGAAGTTAAAAGGTCCGTGATTTGCATTCATAAAGGGAGAAAGAGACCTTAAGCATGGACTTTCATAATATGTACATACACTGAAATTTTTTGTCACAGGAAATCATGAAGGCCAACAAGTGAGATTGATGTGTGTAAAAAATGTCCTAAGCTGTCATAACTTATTAATGGTTTTACAGCTGTTTATATAACTTAATGTTTAAGGAATAAATCTAGTTTTCTAACCATTAAGTATAAGAATCAAATCCGTCAGCAGGACAGTAATATAATAGATGACAGAGGGCCAGGAGAAAGGGATCTTCTCACTTGAGACTTGAACAAGTAGGTTAAATTTGTATCCTCAAAGTCTTAATTCAAACATGCTTACCTTAGCACAGATTTGAAGGCTTCAGGCACTGCCAGAATGTGATTAAGTCCTGTTTCTAGAAAGAAAGTGTTGAAGCAAAATTCCTTGAACACAGGGTATATATTCAGGGGACCTTGTCTGACTTTTGAGTAATTGTTTTGTAATTCACTGCAATGTTAATGACTTGTTATTATTTACCTTAACCAACTGCAACACTGTGTGCCATAATTTTTACTCATTCTGCAAAATTGTGTTTTATATGATCTATTAAATTTTGTCATCTAATTTGCTTTCTTTTATGCTTTTATCAAGTATTTCCACAACTCTACTTCCACATGCTGCGGCAGAGAAGAAGGGTGCTTCATGGAGAAGTGATTGTGGAAAAGGACGATTGAATCAAGATGTGTAACTATGGTGCTTTTAGTGGAAAACAAAAAAGAGGGTAAAACCTCAATATTTCCTGTGCTTTTTCTGAGTCCAAGTTTTAAAACATGGAACAAGAATAAACAACTGTGCATAAAATAGCATGGATTCTATTATTTTTACAACTGATATATTTTCAGACCTATCTTTTCATCCTCGGTTTCGCTTTGGTTTTTAATTGTCTAATTCTTCAAACAAATTATTTTCTTATTTTCACAAATAGTTTTCTTGGTTTCACAAATAGCTTTAAGAATTGGAATAGTTGGCTACTGTGCCCTCTGTTCAGAAAGTTGTGTTATAACCTGTAGTCATCATCAAGAACAGAAGGAGAGTTGATAGGTTGTACTGAAAGTGAGTCTTCTGGAAAACAGCAGAGTGTAAATTGGGTAATTGTGTTTTTCGTAGTCTAGGTGGCTTGAATGTTATTTAAGCTTTTTATTAAATAATACCTTTCCTGTTATAAGTACTGTAGCACGTTGTTGAACAATCTTTGAATTACAGTAGGACTTTGGATAGCAGCAAGGTCCTTGATTGTCAGTGCAAATTTGGATCTCCCTGTATTTTCATTTGTAATTTACAGATAAGTAGAATAACAGATATCAAATTAAGTGTTTAAAAGTTTGTGCTGAGGAGTAGACTTGATGTGCCTACCTTTCTCTGATCAGTGGCTGGAATGGGACTCATTTGCAGAGAAAGTCTGACTAGCATTGTGTTTGCTATTCTACACTTAAATTATGTATGCAGAAAAATCTCAGTTTTGCATTTAGAAACTGTAGCTATAGTGAGATATTTGACTTCTTATAAATAGCTCTGTGGGATAAAATATATTTGAAATAACGTCTTAAAATAGAAATTGTGCTTTGAATCATCCCATTGTGCAATTTTAATTGCTTCCTTTCCATTAATTGTTTATACTGTGTTGACCTAATTCTATTCAATGTCTTCAATAATCTGCAAGAAGGATCTGCAGTATATTAATGAAAGTTACAGATGATATTGCATTGTATGATACCTGAGTGGGAGAGGTCCAACAAATTAGACACTGCCTAAGGGATTCAGAGAAAAGGTAATGCATTTGAGGAAACTTGGATACTTAGTGAGAGAGAGAGAGAGAAGATTGAAATGTAGTAATGTGGTAAGCAGCTTTGATAATGTAGGCAACAAAATTGCTTCTGGCATCACTAATGTCAAAAGAAGAGTATATATGCAGACGAGCTGCATTAGGCAGCTAGAAATCAGAATATTTGTGATTGCTGAGGTGATATCTGGAGTACAGTCTTATATTTTTGGGTACCTCAAGAATTGAGACAATCTTTTGAAAAGTCACAGAACAAAACCATGATTAGTTTAAGTGAGAAAGAAGTCGGAAAGATCGAGTCATTACTGTGTATAATTTTTTGTTTTATGAGAAATACAGGTAAAGGAAGAGGCTTTCTAAGTATAATGGTGCAACTGGAATTGATTATATGAATTTGAAACAAGGTGAATAGCCAATGAATGTCAGGAGAAAGATCCTACTAATGAGATCAGTTAGGCTATGGAATGACACAGTATGCTTATCAATGCATACAATTTCTTGGAAGGTTTTCATTTATATTTCACAAGAGTTTGAGCTATGTACTTGCAGAGGCAGTTTCCATTTTTAGGTTCAATGATTCTGTGGTAATACAGCTTTTTTGAAATTTGTAGCTGCACCTTTTTCTGGTGTATCAGGTAGTTTGATAAAAAAAGCAAAGATTTGCTATTTCCCTAACTTTCAAATTCCATTTTGTGCCTTACATCTGTGATATTTATGCCTATCTTCATTACACGTAAATGAGTTTCCTTTTAAACAACAGGTGCATAGTGGACTTGAGATAGAAGAGTTGTATTTTTTGCAGTTTTAAAAGGTGGAATCTTCATATTCTTTAAAACAAATTTCACACAAGGTGCTATAATTTAACTTACTACTTCTGTGTTTTGTATGTAGCTAAAATTATTAAAGGTTTGAGATATAAACTGTAATTACAACACTGAATCACAAAATAGTTGTGTTACACATATTCAGACTAGCAGTTGTTTTTGTCCAAAGTTCTTAGAGTACTGTTTTATAAACTCCACTTGCTTTTTGATCCATGAGGAACATCATGGCATTTTTCAGAAGTATATCTCAGTTAGCAAGCAGAATAGTGTGATTAAATATAACTAACTAAGATTAGATTAAGTTCTGTGCCTTTTTTACTGTCAGGGCAGCTCACTGAAGACCATAGCTATCAATTAATTGAAAATGCATTGGATACTTTAAGGGTGTGATTTTGAAATCCTTGGTCAGATGAGTGTATCCCACAGATACTATTCCTGCAATAAAAGGAATACTTGCACTATAATACTGTATTATATTTTTTTTTCATTGTGTCCTAAGGATATTATATGTCCATCAAGGAGCTATTTTTATATCCTTTTGTACATGTGACATGAAAAAAATACAGCACTGTTTGCTAAAATCTTGAGTTGCACTTTCATAGAGCAACAGTGTACAAGGTAATGATACAATTTAAAAACTGATTTACAGCTACAATATAGTCATGATAAATGAGTACAAATAAAGCTAAAAATAACTTACAGTATCACATTCAACGTTTCATAGACCAGAGAGATTGCCATGTAGATTATTTGACATGGCATGTACTTTAAAAAAAAGTAAGCAACATATATCTTTTCTTACTCTTCTTTTTTGACTGAAACCTTTTGCTGAAGCCTCCATGTATACCTTTTCATAGAATCACTAAGATTGGAAAAGACCTGCAAGATCATCAAGTCCGACCTTTGACCAAACACCACCATGTCAACTAGACCACAGCACTAAGTGCAATGTCCAATTGCTTCTTGAATGCTTCCAGGGATGGTGACTCCACCATCTCCCTGGACAGCCAGACCCAAAGTCTGACCACCCTTTCAGTGAAGAAATTCTTCCTGATGTCCAACCTGAACCTCCCCTGGCGCAGCTTGAGGCCTTTTCCTCTTTTCCAGTTGTTAGTTGCTATATTGTTAAAGTATCTTCTGAAAGATAGTGAGAATTGCAAGTCAAATCCTCTTGCTATTGACTTCAGACTTCCTAGGTAGCTTACTTAAATTTCAGTATAACATCATGAAAAGTTTAATTAGCTTGTTAAATAGACATTAAAATTAAGTATGATTTTCATATGGTGCTCTCTTTCCAACTTCTTTTTTACACCTATCTTTTTTTTGTCTTATTCTCTGCAATATTCCTAGTTTTCTAAAGCATTTGAATCCTCCTGCTTATGTAAGATTAGAAATGTATTCAAACATAAGCATCTCTACTGTTTTCATGTAGTCTTTAACAAATTGTTTTCTTACCTGTGCTATACATGTTTTCTGAAATGAATTCATATAGAGCATGGCCTTATGAAGCTTTTCTAATGACATTACACAGGAATATGCATTTGGAAGGAGATTCCTATTCATCAGGTGACCTTGCCTACTATTGGTAGTAACGGAAACACACCACCCTTCATATAAAATCCAGCTAAAAGCCGCTGGATTTCTTGAGGTTCTCCCCAGCACTCTCGCAGCGTTCCCATTGTGAAAGGCTGTTTTGAGACAGATTGAGGTGGCTTGTGTCATCACAACTCTGCCCAGAATGTCTGGAAGCCAGATCCTGGTCTCAGGGCAAGGACAGCAGAAAGGAATATGATGCTGAGATATTGCATCTCCTGCATTAGCTGCGAAGGGGTCACTGGGGCCATTGTGAACAGCAGCTGATAGATGTAATTTCTCTCACCACACAGGGTGTGGGAAGAGAGGAAGCTCAGTGTGCTCTCATACCTTTTGCCTAGGAAGTTCAGGAGATCAACTGGGAGGATCTCTGTGATAAAGGGTGTGTTGCAGAAAGGGCTTTCCTGCTCCACTCAGCTATCTTATTACTATCTATTAGCCTATATGTCTTGAGATATACTGGTATGCCAAGGTGGGTGTGCCACACTGCTCTCAATCATCTAGTTCAAAATTAACTGCCTTGGATAAATGGTGCAGCATGCTGCTTCTAATTCCCATTGAGCATAACATTTAGCCAGCTTCATGTTAATGAATAGATTGCAATGACTAGTTAATAGGTAGGTGTATGAAGACTTTTTCTGTGACCAGATGGAACCTACCTTTCTTACTCAGATAAAATATTTTAAATCTAGGTCTAGCTACTGCTCTGACTGTGGTACTTGCAGTCTTCACAGTAGCTTACTTCAGTGGATATTTGGATATTTATGTGATTAATAAATAAACTATAATGAAAACAAGTTACAAACATTATAATAATTTATAATTTAAGGTAGTTGCTACATTAACACTTTTTTGTGAATTCAGTTCTTACTTAATCTACCTTAGAAAGAAAAAAATGAAGAAAAGTTAATACAAATAAGTGTTCTGCACTGAGAAGTAGGGCTTCATAAATCAAAATTTTCATGCAGGCAAACTGGCCGCAGTTCATAAAGGATCGGTTATGTGTTTTTGAACAAAAAGGTTGAAAGCTTTTCTGAAAATTAAAATTTATATCATAACGTATATTTTAAAATCTGCTGAGAGATACTGTATTATTTATTACCAGTTTATAATTTAAATTCATGCCAAACATATAGTTTTTATAGATGATTAACTGTAGGCCATTAAAATGTTTCATTCTGTGTTTGTTACAGTGGCTGTTTAAAAAACAAACACCTCATGTTTCTGCACAGCTCTGTGTTCTCTTGCTCAAGTGAGTTGCAGTATGGTTGTTGTCTACAATGCTTTGCAAGGCTGCTAAAGTGGCAGGTTCCTATTTGCAAGGGATAGCTCCTTAAACTTGCTTTCATGATGGCACACCTTCACAGTGGGTTCAGTGAGTAAAACTGTATGCCACTGGTGCCATTCTAGGGGTCCTGAGTGCCTTCAGTAGGACTGAAGGCTTTACAGTCATAAGGAGTCATCCTTATGACTTCCTCAATGGAGAAGACCTGTCTTGTGAACTCCTAGGTCACAGAAGTAAGTCTGGCAAGTGAACTTAAGGCTGTACCAAGACAAACTGTGGAGAACCTGGATGTTGGGTAACTCTAGCCCTCTCATAGGAAGT